GCACACTGGGCTACCTAGGTTCAAAAATAGGCTGCCCCAAGGAAAATTTGGTTGCCCGGGGCAACCGGGCAACCAGGTATTTTGCACGCTGGTACTGTATTACAATATTTTATAAGAACAGAAATCACGTCATTCGTAAATGAAGTGGCCTTGGCCATGGGTTGCATCATGCCACATGAAAAATTTAGAACATCCTTGGCTTGAGTCAAGGTTAGTGTTGGAACTGACAATACCCTTCAATCAAGTAAACAGGCCTGATTTTAATCCCAGTTGCACATTTGTTTAATCACAGCCCAGCTGGCCTGCATTTAGACATGGAAACAGTGCATGTGTTGGTAGCCTGGATGCCAGACCCAAAGCACACTGGACACAAAATATCTCAGTGTGCAGTGTGCTTTGGGTCTGGCATCCAGGCTAATGTGTTGGCAAAATTAAGTCTTAGTACCGGCAATTGTATTTGCTTGCCAATATGCAATTTTGTATATGCCATGGGCTTGCAGAAAGTATTTCCAAATTGCAGAACAAAATTTTGCAATATTGCGTATCATTTAAAAAAGTATTTCTACCACTGAAGTGTATAACGTTTTATTTTTAGCTCTTTTTCATGAGAATACTCGGCTACCTTAATGACGAATGAGACCTTGAATGCATGTACTTGGAAAGCCTTCAGCACTAAAGCGAAAAGCCTGGTTCACTTCCAGAAATATCTTTCAAATGCCCTTGTGTGTGTATCTTGCATATTACCACAGGGCATCGCCCTCCCATACACTTATAAGTTATATTTATATACCCATTAATGTCTCCACTATGCCTGTATGTGAACTTGACTGTCCTCTTCAATGACCTAGCTAATGCATTTCACATGTTCCTTTTTTATGACCATTCGTATCTTTTTTCATTTGAATGAATTATGAGGAATGGAGTCTTGACTTATTACTACATATCGATAATTACTAAATTGTAATATTCCTCTTTCAATTAAGCCACATTAATAATCTATACACAGTATATCTATATCAAATGCAAACATTATATGTGCAGTATCATGTAAAACTCATGGTATATTATTACAGAATCAGTATATATACACAAAAATTTGTATTGTGCCAACACCATTGAACACCTAGCCTGATTTTTTCCAGTCTGCAACTAAAATTGCTTAAGTTACATAATTTTCCTTCTGCAGTATTGAAAATTTGTGGGCAAAATGCAGAGCATCACTCCCCTGGTATATCTACTGGTCAGTCCCTTATAAGCTGACCGTCTGGAATGTTCTAGAAGACAGACAGACAATGCAGCAGGAATGTTCAGGGGTCAGTCTGGTGCCAGCTGGAACAGGAAGCTCCTGTCAGAACTGTCACGTACTGACAGATTTTCCCTGAACACAAATCCTTATAACAACATCAATTCAACCAGGATCCAGGATACACAGGTACTTTAGTATAGGGTTCTAACCAGGATTTTTCCACAGCGTATATACATGTACATGTACGTGGGGGTCAGGTACAGAAGGGCAACTTTTACAGCGCAAGTCGCATATTCAGTCCTCGAAACATGACCACAGCAGGGGGTCTGGTATTCTTCCAAAAAAAATTTGAAATCCATAACCCTCCGAGACACTATTTCTTGCTTATTGAGGGACAGACTTTGAGAAATTAAGGTTTTCTTTTTGCTATAGCGTCATTCTAAAGTTATATTTTCATTTTTTTGCAAGTTTTATGAAGGTTCTCTCCCAAAAAACACCCCTATCGCTTCATAATTAATTATTTCTTGTAACAAAATCTGAGAACCAACAAATTAAACTGGTGGGGCCTAAAATGCTTACGAAAAGGCTGACAGACATTATTTGAATACAGTGTCTTCAATTTTAAGCAGAGAGTGTAATACCAGCAATACATTTTCAGGAGGTATCTGATTTTGTGTTATATTGCATTGCCTGGTATATCTTTTCTTTCTTTTCGAAATTTGATACTTTTGCATGAGAGTACAATATATTATAGTTCTATTGATTTGAAAATCCATGCATACACTGCAATGGAATCTGATAATATGAACAATGCACCAGAAAGATGTGCCGTGATATGCAAAATTTGGCAGCAAGACACTCAAGTAAGTCACGACCAAATCCTCCATGGATGCAGGGCTTTCATCCACCCACGTGTTTTTATATTCAAGTCAAACGTAGTTTAAAGGCGGCACCCTGCTGAAAAAGCACTTGTACTTCAGACATGGCATAGGGCTTGAATTTTGAAATACTGTTCTCTAAATCCACAATGTAACATTGAAAATTTGTTGGTTCTCTCCACCAGAAAAAGATTTAGGAAATAGGGATCATATAAAAACTGTTCAGAAACCATTGTCTTTAGTACTGTAATTCCTGATTTTTTCACAGTACTTTTATCATTTATGTTCACTGTTTTCACTGTCACTTCTGTACTGTGACATTTTTTTTCCTGCTCCTGTCACCACCATGAATATATAGTTCCGTGAAACATGTTCAGTTTTCTCAGACCGTGAAATTTTGCTACGGTGAACATAAAGATAAGTGATTTAACTAAATGGTAACAGTCCATGTAGCAAATAAAAATCCACAAACCCCTAATCATACAGTACAATTTGAAAACTGGTGCAGGCTAGGGACAAAACTGCCCTTGTACTTGTTTGACCATACCATGTTATGGTCATATGGTAAGCATGTGATGCTGTAATGACCATTCAACGAAAGTATACGTCACCAGATACAAAGGCTATATTTAAATATATTCAACCAAAGCTACCTACAGTTCATCAATAAAATTGCTATTTGGAGCAAATGCAGCAAATGGCTTCACCGCATCCCCTGTACCAAAAATTTGACCTCTCCCCCTCCCGCACAAAAGGGATTGTTCCTAAGTCACCCATGACCAAAATGTGAAGTGTTCAAACAGTCTACATGTATACCCCCATGCAGAAATGGAATCTTCCAACAGCTTCTGCTGTTGGATCATGTAGAACCCTATGTTTTATTTAAACTGTCAGTTGGGGATTTGGGTTTTGAAGCTACAATCGTTATTTTTACTCAAAGTAAGGTAAATCAAAGTGTACATGTTCTGCCAACGTTCTACTTGAACAAGAGAATCTGATGTTTTTTTCAGCTGAAGACTTACCTCATTTCCATAGCACATCATGTGATGGACGGTGACCAGTGACTTGAAGACCACCACCCAGCTGCTGTTGGTGCTCCTCTCGATGATGGTGTCAGCCAACTGTGGAATGTTCACGTTGGGCTCATTGGTGCACTGGAGAAGATCTGCCAACAGAAACATCAACGGGAAATTAGAGCTGCATCGAAACAAATTGAGACTAGTACAAACAAGGCTCGAAATTCATTTTCAATAATAGTTCCTTGTGCACCCAACCTAAAAAATTAGGTACACCAAAAATTTTTGGGGTGCACCATACAAGACAAATCCAAAATACAGATCTTTCTGCTCCTCTTCTAAGCTTGAATCTGAAAATGGGAGCTAACTTCGAAATCTTGAACAAGTACTACAAGTACAACAAAGCTATAAATTTGTGTGGCCTTATGACACATGGTTGAAGTTGAGGTTATGTTGTGTAGGTGGTGTTTTACAGGTTGGGCCTGCATCCAATTATCTTGTGGTTTCCAAACCCTGTTTGAATAGTCCATGCTTTGTTAAAGGTGGTTTGTAATAACCTGGGGACACTGATTGTTACATTCCAATCCAGGGCTCGAAATTCTTCCTGCAAGTTAGTACCTGTCAGGTAAAATTGGAGCTGTGCAGGTATTTCTGATGTCTACCTGCACTGGTTCATGTACTGGGCACATGGAGGGAAATTTGGAGCTGTGCAGGTATTTCTGATGTCTACCTGTACCTAACCTGTACTCCCCATGTATTGGGCACAATATATATGTGTCATAGTTTGTTATCACCTACAAAATCATCCATACTCCATAAAATCTTTAATTATATACCAGGTACAGGTAAAATCTGTCTGGTACAAATTATTTCCAATGTTATCTGCAGCAGTGCAGGTATGCAGATAAAAGTACATTGAGCCCTGAGTTTTATTATTTCTATTATATATCCATGACCTGTACTTCATTTCTGTAGCAATTTCATGTCCTAGCCAACTACTGATATATGTATGTCCTTGAAATTCAAGTTGAATGGGATTGTTATAATTTCAAGCCAGGGGTCTCCCCAGGAATATTTAGGGGAGTGGTGCTGGAATTTTTTTGGAGGGCACGTAGTGCCCGACGCCGCGCGAAGCGCGGCTGTGAGGGGGGGAGAGGTCCGGAGAGGGGGGGGGATTCCCCCCCTCTCCGTAGGAGAAGCTGTTGCATTTTACCCTTCTGAAATGCAGTTTGTAGCCTTCTCCTGCAACTTGAGTTAAAAATCTTACTAACTAAAGAGGTAGAAAATCAAGCCAAATTAAGTACAAATGTAGGGCATTAATGAGTATTTGTACAACAAAATATACACCCATTTCAACATAATGATTAGTTGGTATGGTACATTGTCTAGTCTGGTCAAAGTCTGGATTCTGAAGAAAAAAACTTACTGAAAAAAACCTCTTCTGAAGAAAAAAACTTCTTAAGAAAAAAACTTCTGAAGAAAAAAACTAGAAGAAAAAAACTTCTAGAAGAAAAAAAACTGAAGAAGCGCAAACTTCTGAAGAAAAAAACTTCTGAAGAAAAAAACCTCTGAAGAAAAAACTTTTGAAGAAAAAAAATTCTGAAGAAAAAAAATTCTGAAGAAAAAAAACTTCTGAAGAAAAAAAAATTCAGCACAAAGTTTTGATTAGTTTCCATCCCATTGTTTTCCTAAAAATCAATAATGTGATTTTATCAATTTTAAACGCCCTAAAATTAGCTAAATCGGCGCTTTAGGGTGATTGCGTAATATGCGTGCACTATGACCTTTGACATTTTACGGGTCATGCAGCTCTGTGCCGGCCGCCCTCCCACCCCTCGGCCGTGCGTTTTATGGGAAAATTTCTACTTTTTTAGGGGTTTCGGGACCTAAAAACTAACATCAGAGGGAAAATAAACCACATACGTTATTTTCATGGTAAATATCGCTAAAATGGACCACGCATTTTTCTTCCGCGTTACCGATTTTTAAAAAGGCCTCGCCATGTGCTTCACGCCGCTAGCGACTCAACAAGTGACTTCCCCCATCCGGTTTTGTGAGCAAATTTCTGCTTTTTCAGACATTTTGGAACTTAAAAACCGACAGCAGGCGAAAAATAAACAACATACATTATTTTCATGGGAAATGCCGCTATACTGGCCCAGACATTTATCTGTTGCGTTAACCGAATTTTGCGGCCGCCACATGCTCATGGTGCGGTACGGTAGGGAATTTTCCACGGCTAGTTCGTAAACGCATCGGCTTTATAAACTTATTTTCGGGGTCGAGGGCTTTGTTTTACAAACCAATCAGACAATTAGCGTTGTTTACATGACTTAAAAACGCTAGCGGGGCGCCCGATGTTCCACCAATGACAGCTATTCTCTCGGTAGCGTCGTGCGAAATGGTCATTGTTTACTCGTTTATCGCCCATTCACAAGTTTCAGAAACAATGCCGATGGGAAAATGGACGCCACTCGCGTCAAGATTTCGATGTTTTTTGCCTATTTATCCGCGAAAATACAAAGAGAAGACCCTTAATTTGAAAATTTTGGGAGTGGCGCTAGAAATTTTGGGAGTGGCGCACCGCCGTTGCACCATTGCCTGGGGAGACCCCTGTCAAGCCCATGTTAGCATAATGATTGTATTGCAGTTTATACAACAAGAATAACTCAATACAGGAAAAATGTGCTTGGAAAACAAAATGACCAAAGAATGTCTATATGTAAAGTCATGAGTCATGTTTCATGTATGGTTGGTCTCAGCGCTGTGTAAGCTCATGTATTAGTAGACTTGACTTTGTTTAAGTCCAGGATAGACCCTTCATTAAACAACTGCAAACTAAAGAAGGATCTCTGGCCATGTGCCAGTATTCCACAGCCATGATGCAATCATTCTAGTTAGGTACTACACACTTTCTTTTCTGACTCTACTAGATCAGTAATCTCCAAGCAGATCTTTTGGTGTCTGCCAGACAGTATCATATTGGCTTAAAATATAGACAGCAGTACAAAAAGAAAACTTGGTAAAAATTTACTAAAAATTCCTAAAAAACACATGCTGGTTTTGTGAGTAATGGAAAACTGACACATACTGTGACATAGTTACATAGGGATATTGAAGTCGGAAATTTGAGAGAAACAGGGGAGTGGTGTACCAGTGGGGTTCGAGCACCACCGATTGGTTCGGAACTTTTAGCATAGAGGTTAGTGTGTTAGGTTAGGGAGCTGGCGGCCCCAGACGTTCACATCCAGGCCTGTATCTAAACTTTACTAAACATTTTTACAGGTGCATTTTTGGCCATATAAATTTATAAACTGTGCCAAAAAATAACTATCATGGCAAAAAACAAGACTTTGTAGCTAAATTTGTAGTATTATTACATTTACATCAACACTTATATACTGTAGTCACTCAAATTTATAGTTCAACATTCAACATGCAAACATTTCTAGCCAACACACAAGACAGTGACTGTTTGTCTTTCCCAAGGCCACATCAACTTTTCAAAAGCTTTCCAAGAATTTAGCACATTGTGAGAAAAAACGCAGCTGTTGTGAGATGTACTGAAAGCCGCCCGAGGGACAGGAAGATATAGTTTGATTACATACTTCCTTGGCAAAGCAAATAATCTGTGACAAATCTGACCTGTTATAAAAACAGGTCAATGACCCATTATGCCACGGGCAAAAATCTGTGGTACGAAAAACTGCGTATGTCGAATTGTTCCTGCGCGTAAGTCGGCCTGCTCTGGCTTACATCAAGAATGGACAGAGCGTATGCAAGCCCTCAAGGTAATGTATGATTTGAAGGTACGTTCTTGACTTACGTCAAAGCAGGTTGCATTCAGCCATCATTCATGAGGTCTGCACTCCTTTTTTTCGTGAGGCATGGCAAGTCGTTTGAATTTACCATTAATCATCACATACCTGCTTTAATTCAACACTAAGCATTCTAGGAAAGTCTATGAAGCGTAATTGGTCACTTTTGTTCCATTTGTATATTTCAATGCCAGTTTACCCAAAATAATGAACTGAGAGTCCAAGATCTTCAGACTAGTTTTGCCAGATACTACATGAATACAAAAGAACATTTCCAAAGATCAGTTCCGAAGCCTTTTAGAAGACAACTTAATTTACCACTTGCCGGTCTGCCTGAATTTACCATTAAGCATTATCACCCAAGTTAAATCTACTATTATAAAGCATTGCCAGGATCCCCCCAAGCACACCTTCTTAAACAACTGCAATCACAAATCATTTATGCACACCCTCTTAAACAACTACAATCACAAATTCCCCATGCACACTCTCCTAAACAACTATAATCACAAATCCCCCATACATACCCTCTTATACAACTATAAGTACAAATCCCCCATGCACACCCTCTCAACTAAAATCACAAATCCCCCATGCACACCCTCTTAAACAACTATAATCACAAATCCCCCATGCACACTCTCTTAAACTACTATAATCACAAATCCCCCATGCACACTCTCTTAACCCCCCCCCTCATATTTTCATTACATGCACACCTGGCCTGTGGCAACTGTTTTATGTACACTGTGATTTATCACCTATGAGGTTAAGACACCACAGATGTCAGCCGTATATTGATTATTTTCCTACAATAACATAGAATACAAATCAATACTGCTGCATATGTAGATATAACACATAATGTACATGTCTGCATTAATCAGAAGTAAAAATGATTGGTCGATATTACACTGTATTGTTCTTCTCAACAAATATATTTGCGCATGGGCCTCTTCTTACACAAGCTTTATTATGTTTAACCTTATGGCTGCTAAGGCAGCTGTTAATGTTATAGCCTAAATATATACCAGTTAATGGTTTAGGCAGCAGGGAGAATGTTAAAGGGCTTTCTAACCTGAATCAAGATTTCACCAATGTTCTAGCTAGTGTCGTTCATTCCTCATTTGATACAATTTTGCCACAAAATTTAGCCAATTCCAATGCGACATCTTTGACGGACAGAAATTGGTGAAGATATGAAAAAAGAGATGCCTTTAAACTTAAGCGTAGTATCCCAGAAAAAATTACCTTTCAAAATGCAGGAAATAGCATTTCAGAGGGTCAAGATGTCAAATTTACCCTGGGGGAGCATCGCCCCCCCCCCCGCCCAAGACCCCTAGAATTGCAGTGCTCCACATAATAAGTTGCATTACTGTCTATTTTACTGGAATTAGACTATCAGCAACTGATCAGCTACTATCAGTCATATATCAGTACCGGTGGTTTACTAAGGGATTTTACATTGTCAAAATTGAGATGAAGGAAAAAATTCAGGCTGGCTAGAGCACTACTTCAAATATACATGTATTGTATAGCAACCAAATAACCAATATAGATATCTGTTAATTAGGTGCTAGTAGAATATATTTTCCCAGTTTTCTTCGAATTGTAGTTTGACCATGTATTTCAACACCTCTTCGCTTCAAAATCACATTATCTAAAGAATGTGTTGGGTGTTATCTCAGCCAAAAGAAAGCATTAAGTCCTTGAAAGAAAGGTATATCTGTGTCCACATCTCAATCTGGAAGGTGTTAGCAGGTTACAGAGATCACAGACTCTGGTTTATCATATCACAACATGCCATGGTGGGAGCTCTTCATTCAGTAAAGGGTCAAGTAGTACTAGTAGTAGAGTCTGTACAGTTTTAAGGTATGCCTATAGGCCACATCAATTTAATTTGTTGGCTCTCAGAATTTTCGGAAAAAATAGGAAGAGACAGGGCAAAAACAAAAACAGGCCTTGGCATCCTATGATAGCCTAAAAATCTACAATGAAATCAACATTTTCTTTTTTATCAGATTTTACCTGCACTAACCTGCATATACCCAGTACATGGACCAGCGCAGGTTAGGTGCAGGTAGACATCAGAAATACCTGCACAGCTCCAATTTTACCTGCACTAAGCTGCATATACCCAGTACATGGACCAGTGCAGGTTAGGTGCAGGTAGACATCAGAAATACCTGCACAGCTCCAATTTTACCTGCACTAACCTGCATATACCCAGTACACTGACCAGTGCAGGTAGGTGCAGGTAGACATCAGAAATACCTGCACAGCTCCAATTTTACCTGCATTAACCTGCATATATACCCAGTACATGGACCAGTGCAGGTTAGGTGCAGGTAGACATCAGAAATACCTGCACAGCTCCAATTTTACCTGCACTAACCTGCTCTGTTATCTAGACAAGTTACCCTTTGGCACACTAATCGAAAATAACAAGGTGTATTTTCCTTGTCTTTTTTCTGCCCATGATATACACAGTACAGTATTAGCCTTGTGGTCTCAAGGTCAGACTTTGACAGTAAAATAAAGGGTCTCTGTTCAAGTGTTAATCTTGAGATTCCACCCACCCAGCCAGATTTCCTCTCACCGAGTCAGGAAAACTGTTTTCCAGATGAAACCAGTTTTCCAGATGGTTCCATACCAGCGATCACCATGATGTCACAGCCAGCGAGTGATAGCAGTGTTAGAAATACCTATCTACAGTCTGCATTTTGCAGAGACATTTTCAATATCGCAGAAGGAAAATTAAGCAATCTGCAATTTTGCAGACTGAAAAAAAAATAGGCTAGAAATTCAATGGTTTCAACCTCCTGGATATGGCCATAGTTTTGCCAAGCAGTTACCACTTGCCACGCAAAGTTGGGCTGGTGAGGCCTAGAGAAAAAATGTTGTGTTTCTTGTTTTAGTCCTGAAAAATTAGGGTCGGTATGTGAGACTCTTTTATTTTTAGACTTCAGTGATATCTATATAGGGGTCCAACTTAAACAATACAGTTTAACAAAGTAAAACAATGCATGAGGACACTTTTATTTTTAATGTCAATGCTAGAAAAACACTTGTACAATGTTTCATCACTCAGGTGTCAGATCATGGAGCTAGAAAAGGTTGATCAGCTTGAAAAATTAAATCATTTTATATCCCTTGCAAGGGTCCACCCAAAAATCTAGGGTTGGCAGGTCTTTCTAGGGTCGGTCAGGAAACAGGAAACACAACATCATTTTTCCTAGTCCTCATAAAAAAAACACGTCTAAAATAAGTCAAAGCCTAAACCTCTGCATGGAGAGTAAAACAAATGTATAAAAATTTGTTTCCCCCTCCAGAGTTAACATCTACACCCATGTAACCTCCCCCTGGCCTGACACCAATCATAACAAATTAGCCCAGGTAAGCCATACTTGTCAGCAACTCTCATGGCTTCTCATCTTTCCGTTACCATGGCAACTGCCTTTGTTCTACAGGTCATTTACTTGGCAGGTCCCATGTGGATTAAGGCTGGGACAGCAATGTCCTAGAGGACACAGTGCTCCAAGTAATCTGTTACAAGTGTTAGAAATACCTATCTGCAGTCTGCATTTTGCAGAGACATTTTCAATACTGCAGAAGGAAAATTATGCAACCTGCAATATTGCAGACTGAAATTGAAAAAAAAATCAGGCTAGAGGTTGGTGAATGGTGTTTAAGAGCTTTTGTGTTTCTGACTCTATAAAAGTACTTTACAAGTAATTTTGCATGTATTTTTCAAATTGCATGCAAAATGTTTGCCAGCATGCAATTTTGTGTATGCCATGAGTTTAGATGTGGACTTAAAGTGTGCATTTGCAGAAAGTATTGCAGAACAAAATTTTGACATTCTGCAATATTGCAGAACACTGAGACAGGAAACACAACATTTTTAACCTAGGCCCAGCCTTCTCAAAAAGTTTTAGAGTAGGAGGCTGGTTACCAAAAGTAGCAGGCGAGCCACGAAGTGGCTCGAAGCGAGCCGCGCAGCGGCTCGCG